GAGCTTCTCCAAGTGGGATTTGGCCATTGGACTGAAAGTGGTTCTACAGCACTGGCCTAAAACTACCTTGTGAGGACATGGCAAAAGTGAGATCTGAACCAGAGACTGAACATTACTGCTCTGTCTTTTAGCTACTATGCTGCCATCTATAAACAGTCTGTGTCTATTGGACTGATCTTTCATTATATCCTGCTAGACAAGCAGCTGATTTAGCAACCAAGTTCTGTGTTCAAAATTTAAGAGACCCCAAGTAGTAGCTCTTGTCTGATTGTAGCTCTTACGACTGATCCAACAAGATATTGATTGGAGTGAATGCCTTTACTGGGAACTGCTTGTTCACTAGCCTTGTTTCACATTGATAAAAGGACAACTGTATTCTCTGCCTTCTCATTTTATCCACTTATTGTGCTCCAAACCTTTAACATTCATATTTATTCAGAATTTTACTCCTACTGTTGTGGACTTCAAGCTATGATTGGCAGGTTTCAAGTAGTTCTTGTATTTGCATATCAAAAGCACGATGAAGTTAACCTGTTATGCATTAGAAGTGTTTCTTTCTAAATTTTACATTGTTATTAACTTGTCAACCAGTATTTTTTTTCCTTTAAAACAATTTATCTTTGTCTCTCAGTTCCCAACCTCCTGTTAGTTTAGCTGTTGCCAGTTTAAAATTTTCTTCAAAAGTTCATTGCAGTTAAAAGATTTGAAAGACTTTTATACATTCAGCCAACATTCATACCTCTGCTATACTCATGATGAAAACATTGATTAAGCAGGAAAACATAACTGAGAACAAAAGAGGGAGGGAATGGGCACCAGATAATTCTTAGTAAAGCCTGTGTCAATTCTGTACCACTGGCCATGGTACAGAATTGGCTATGTGGGTGATGATAATGGATGAGATATGACATTTCAGACATCTGGAGGTTACCAGACAGGGAAAGCCTACGTTAAAGTGCCTCCATTCATCCTGAGACTCCTCCAACCACCAGTAGCATTCCCCTCTTTTTATAAAAAAACATTCCATGGAAGCTTAATGAAGAAGTATGAAATATTAAAAAGTATTAAGAATTTTAGATGTAACTCAGCAACTAATTCAATAGAAAAATGTCAGATATAATACTTCCCAGTGTCTCTTTCCATTACGCTGGGAAACTTTTATTCCTATTTTAGAACAATCAGTTACAATCAGTTTACTATCTACCTCTTATCATGCTGATCATCATCATTTCCCTGTTCTTTCATATCCTGAAAAGTACATTCTTAAACTAATGATGCAATTTCCTTTAGCTATATTAATATGTGTAGTGTCTTTGGCACTGAAAGCACACCTAGCCAAACAGTTACTCTAAGCCAGCTTCCTCAGCCTGGTGTCATCAGTCCCATTCAGCATGACCAATGGTTTGGGATGGTGGAGATTATAGTCTAAAATATCTGGAGGGGGCTGGGTTGGGAAGGCCATGGTAAGTGGATGTCAAGTAAATAATTGAGGGATAAGGTCTTATTTCTAGCCAGGTCTTCAGATCTATACAATTTAGCATATGGATTAATCAATTGATACTTTAATGTACTTGTCTACTCACAAGTTAGACTTACTGACTATAATCTGGTTTACTTCCAGCTATTTAAGTATAGGATTGTGGCTTAAGGCAGATAAAATACCCTTTTGGACCATTAATTGCATAGCATTACAGGGCAGGGTTGTTTTTTATGATGTTTGATTCCTAGGATTCCATGTTTCCAGGACCTGGTGATAGGGCACATGATGCAGATATCTTGCTAAAGGGAAGTGTGAGGGGAGGGGGTTGGAGTGGGAGACTAACTTAATACCCCATTTATGCTTCCATGAATTACAGGATGGAAGAAAGACAGGATGTAAGTGTGCTAAATAAGTAAAATTTGAGATGTTTAAAATGCTCAAAAGAGCATTTGTCCTATTAGGGGACAAGATGCCTTTGAGTACTAGAACAAAACATCTGGAAGAAGGCAAAGGGATAATAGATAGTGCTGTAGCATTGGATTCAATCAGGTCAAAGGCTGTTCAAATGAAAGCTGATAAGTATCCATGCTGCATTTCCACGGTTTTGTGAAAAAAAACATATTTTGTCAATGTTTGATGTATTGTACAACACTTGTTGCAGAATTATGGCTTTCTGTTGGGAGCTGGGCAAGACACATGCTTTGCTATTTTAACTGTGTTTTCTTGCAGTATGCTTTTGGAAACTTTAACTTAACATTGAAAGCATTTTTAAATTAATTTCACTTTTCTGGTTTGTTAGTTTTCTGCTCACTTTCCACCGTACTTCTGTCTCTTTTTAACATTTTTGAGTACAGTTTTGGAAGAATATGTTTGACTCAGCATATGCTGCTCCAAATAAAACTGACCCAACATTTACATGCTGTTCTCACTTCAGAAGAGGCAGTTACCTATATTGCTAGGATGTCTGATTAATATTGACAGTTCAAGCAAGAAACAGATGCCTTCTGCAGCTCCTAATCATTCAAAGGTGTGTGGCTGTTTTCTCTGAATATAATGTGCAGAAAAGAGACAGTCATATTTTCCTGCAATACTATCAATACTTTTTAATTGTAGAAAATAGGAGCACATCTCTGGTGGACTTAGAATAAACCTATTCAAATACAGTTGGGAGTGCATTGAATTAGAATATAGAATTAGAAGTATGCAGAGTTAAGTCCATTCCACAAATTGAAGAAAAACCCTTCTTGCAAGTTATTCCATCCTATTAGTTATGTGTAATACAGCATTTAGGCTATATGGTTTACCAAAGGTAAATACATTTTTCCAAAATGCTTAGTGCTATGTCTAAAACTGGAACTCTGGGTTTGAACAAAGCAATAATTCTGGAGAATCGTGTTTAAAAGTTTATAAACACCCTGGCTGAGGGCTCCTGCTTGTGGCTTCAGTAATCAGAAACTCACAACCCAGAAAAAGCTCAGTGTTCTGTTTGAACTGACTTCTTGTGTGATGCTTCCAAACAAGCCAGGAATTGTAAGCCAGATGCAAACTCTAGCCTCAGGCTCTGATGTGCTGGGGGAACAGCAAAGCCAGAGTTCCACTATTGGACATAACACTAAGCATTTTCCTTCTGTAATATTCCTGGTTACTGAAGTCACTCCTGTTGGGAAGAGGAGCCAAGTAGAACCAGTTGGACAGTGTCCAGCAGCCAGGGCTGAACAGCATTTGTGTCAATGAAACCTTTTCCTCTGAGGATTTTATTCTCTCTGGCCACTGATCAATTCCAATGGAGAGTTTTATTTTCTACTTTTAATCCTTCTCTGGGGGTTGCAGGGAGCTTAAATACTCCAGGAACACCATGATACTAATAAAAAAAAGTGGGGCTGCACACTCTTACATTATTAAAAAAGTAATTATGCATAACAAAGCATTTCCTTGGCCCTTGGTTCCTAGCAAGGGAAGGCATTTTGGGCCTTAATTCTTTTGCCTTCAGACCCAGCTGACACTGGAACATGGACTGAAAGAGCTTCAGCAGCCCTGCCCTACAAGCAAACCTGCTTATGCACCTGCTTTTTTCCTGGATCAGAATCCTCCAGTGTCTTGAATTCTGGCTTATACCACCATCAGTGAGCATGAAACAAAGTTCCACTCCAGAGTTTGCAGGTGTTAGTAACATCATCATATCAATGCTTGCCAAAGTGTATGCTACAAAGAATTAGCTGACTAAACCAGAATCTGGACACATGAGCATTCCACCCTATCTTATGGTTCTTTCTCATAATTCATTGAATGCTAACAACTGCTGCAAAACATCAAGTTTCCTTAGCAGCTGCTGGATAGTGATATCTAGATATATGTATGATTTCAGACATATTAAATCAGGAGGTAAAGGAAATGGTAATTCGGGCTCATGGCATTATCCAGGGAGGTACAGAACATTTTGGATTCCCAGGTATGAAGTTGGTGACATTGCTCAGAGCAGAGAATTGGAGTTCTTCTCTCTTCCTCCTCCACCTTGCAGCTGGCAACTGGTCCAGCTGCTCTGTGAGATCAGAAAATCTACTTTGGAAAGGTGTGGAAGGGAGCGGGGAGGTTGGGATGGCCAGGATCCAAGGTACCCTGAAGCTCTCCCCCCTGCCCCCCCCCCCGGGGTATTGTGGCAAGGAGACGGAGGGGTGGAGAAGCAAAGAATGAATGATTGGATGGGCAGATGGCATTATCTCCATAGGATTGCACCCTAATTCCTGATAGGGCAGTTCTGAGGAATAACCTTAAAGGAAGAAGGCATTTTCTTCTGATGTATGCCTCTTTCCTGTGAGCTTAAGTGGACTCCGGGGGATGGTGAAGGACAGGAAGGCCTGGAGGAATGTTGTCCATGGGGTTGCAACGGGTCGGACATGACCTCGTGACTAACAACAACAACAACATGCCTCTTTCCTAATTGTTAATGCTAAAGTCTAGAATTGCATGGTTTTGCTACATATCCCAGGCATCCCAATTCTCAGTTCTTCTTCAACTACCATTATGGGTTTGGGAATTTCTAAGCAACCTTACTTTGTACAGCCAAACACCCTGTGGTAAATAATAAAGAATAAACCTACTAGCTTGTGGGTAATTAAATAGATTTTTGATCACAAGATTGTTCATATTTGTCCCCTAGAAGTGAATTCCAGATGTTTGGAAAGTCAGATCCCAACAACCCCAGCTATCATGGCTCATGTCCAGGAATTCTGGAAAGTGTAATCTTAACTATCTGGTTGGGGCAGTTGTAACCCATTCAACAGAGTGCTAGGTTAAAAATTCCTACCTATTGTTGTGAGGATAAAATGCAGAGGAAGAAAACCTTGTAAGCCACCTTGGGTTCCTGGGAAGAAGAACAAAGGAAATAAGGACAGGAAGGGTATAGATGCAGTGTTATAATAAAGGACATGGGGAAATGTCTCTGGACGAGCCCAAGTTACGTCCTAGTGACTTCAGATTACAATCTTAGAATCCTGAAGATAGCTAATTTTCTTGTGTCTAGAATATGGCGGGATGGGCTTGGACTTCTCCTACAGTACTGCAGTTGCAGAAGAACTGGGAAATATTCGCTGTGGAGGTGTTCCCATGGCAATTGGAGTGCAATCAGAACTGGCAACCTTTTCACTGGCAAGGTAACTTTACTTACCCCGGAATTTTCTATATCCTTAGAATGTACAAGAATGTACCAGCTTTAAATCTAGCTCTGTGCAGAATGAAGGAAGGGAGGAAGGGGGTGGGAGCAGAAAAGATATGTTTTTATTTATGTAACTGTTACATATGTTTCACTTCAGGACATAATTACAGCTAAGTAAAAGCAAGTAATTATTTTAATAATTTTTCATCAAAGGTGTTATTGTCATTGTAACAGACAGCAGATAGATAATGTATGTTGTGGTAGTGCCCAGGGATCAGTTGATGAAAGACAGGATAGAATTTCCTTTAATAAGTAAATAAGAATGTTTGACAATATTTTCATCTGCAATGTTTTATTTGTACATGTTGGCTACAAGCAGCAAAGGAAGGCTGGAATGAACTGGAATTTCTTGTTTCAATGTTTTGCTTTAGTCAAGCTGCCATTTTTCTGGTATATGGAATATACTGGCTTGTCATACTGGATGGTAACAAGGGAAACCCCTAGATAAAATAGAAACACTAAAGAAAGGTGATTTATCATTAAATCCTCTTGTTAAACAATAATGCATTCAGTGTAATGCAGTGTATCACATGTGATAAGAAGGTGTCTTCCTATCTGTCTTGCAGCTGATCACCTCCAGGAAAGCTCCACACTGGCAGCCCTGTTAGGGCCTGGAAAAGCATGTCAGCCCAGTAAACCAGCTCCTAAGGATCCAGTCTGATTGATGGCTGCCAGGTTCTTCTTGCAGCCACTTCCTCAGTGACTCATGGAAACAGGAGGCCTTTCATGTGTTCAGGCTGAACTTCTGCAGTGGAGATTTGGATACATGGTCATTCTCTAAATCCCTGATTTTTCCCAGGTTCTGAATTGTGGAGTTGGCCTCCATAGCTACAAAAAAGCCCTCTGTGTCAGAAGCTTGCCCTGAACATGTGAAGAGCTGGGTGACCTTATTTATTCATTCACATATTTATATGCCACCAATATAAATATGGCCAGAATGGCCTCTTTAGGCAGCTCACACAGTAAAACAACGTATTAAAATAGTTAAAAGAATAAAATCATAAAACATAGCAAGGACAATACAACAAAACAAATATAAAAAGATCCTTCTGCACTCACAGAATCATTGTGAATAAGGACACTTTTATTATTTATTTTTATTTATTTATTAATTAAAACATTTTTATGCCGCCCCATTCGCCGAAGCCTCGGGGCGGCTTACAACAATTACAGACCAACCTGGCATTAATTAACAACATCAGCAGACCTGAGCACAGGCTGAAATGGATATCCAGTATTCTTAGGCTGGGGTGAAAGCCAGAAGAGGGAACAGATATTAAGCATCTGTACCCTCTTCCCTACTGCCATAAAACCCCCTACCTGTCTGCTCCCCTCAACTCACCTCCTTCTAAAAGGCCCATGGCTGAATGACTCTACTCCAAAGAAGGCAGTCTCCTGGCACCCCACACTGGCCTGGCACCAAGCAGGCAGTGCCCTTTGGTGCTGCCCTTAGGGCGCCACCCTTGTGGGCACTGGAGAGAAGAAGGTCCCAGGTGGAAGTCCCGCCGCCAGTGGCCAGGTGTCGTTGGCAGTGCTATGTCTCCCCACTCCAGCTGCAGCCTCTCACACTGCAGCTCGGCGAGGGATGGCTGTGGGCGGGGGTGAGTTCCAGATCCCAGACTCCGAGGGAACTCAGACGTGGCAGCAACAAGGGGAGAAGTGCAGTGCAGTTCCTCTGTATCTGTGTTGACTTTAAAGGTGAGCAATACCTGAACACAGATTCTATTCCCATCCATTTTAGTTTTTAAAAATCGCCCTGTGTCATGCAGAGTTGGGATGTTATAGAAATCATCCTATATGCTCTTTTCATTGTAGTAGTTCGGCTGAAACAAGGCTCAAGGAAGAAAGAAAAAACACTCACCAAATATAATGCTACCAACCAACCCAACAGAGTTAAGTAGAAGATTGGATAGTTGTTTTCAAAAAGAGGGATGGAAGTAACTGAAGATGAGAAAATCAGATAGGGGAATGAAATATTTAACATCCACTTGCTAAAGTTGAAATGACCATACAAGAAGACCCCAAAGGGATTTTGAACACTCAGCTTAGAAATGTGTTGGCAAAGGAAAGTGTTTTCTGTTGTGGAAGAAAGAACATGAGAAGAACCTTGCTCGAACAGATCTGAAATCTACTTCTTCCCAACAGCCCATTTTCACAGTAGCCAAGTACAGACATATGACAAGTCCCAAAGTAGGGCCTGGGGGCAAAAGTTGCTGTTGCTCCCAAATGACTGGGATTCAGAAGTTGGATTCCTCTGATCAGGAGGCAGGATATGGCAAAGATGACAAACAGCCATTTTATACAGCAGTGTGAATATTTTCTTTTGTCAGTCCTTAATCTCCCGCCATCAGCTTCCTAGGATATCCCTGGAATCTATTATTAATAGAAACAGGGAGAACACACACACACTCCTCTCTCTCCCTCCCTCCATTTTTCATATCATGCATAATTGTGTACACCTTTATCACCCTCATTACTTTCCTTTTTTCCTAGACTAAAAAGCCCCAAGCATGATAACTTTTCTTTGTAAGATATTTTGTCCAGCCCCTGATCATTTTCCTTGCCCCTTTCTGCACCATGTCTACTCTGCCATATTCCTTTTGAGGTGTGGCAACCAAAATGGTACTCAGTATTGCAAGAATGGACATGTTATAGACAGTGATGGTTTTATAGTTTTGATCCCTTTCAGTTTCCTGTGAACTGGCTATGCTACCCGATCTGGTTACGCTGCTTTGTCCACACTTTGTGTTGTGAACTACCAGTGAAGCCTGCAAAATCAGCTCTAAGAAAGCCAAATTGGCATGTGTAGATGAGCAAGATTTAAATCCTGTTAACTGCTTTGCATGTATACAGTCCGTGGTTGCCAAGGTAACATATAGCAGATGCCTATATTACAAGAGAAAGAGTTCTATGTAGAAAGACACTTTGCCTTCTTTCTCATCTTCTCTGCCACTTGAATTAACACCATATTTAAGTATACCTGCACAACTTGGAATTGTAAATAGTTTTTGATCCTTTGTTCAATATGAAGCTTTTCCCTTATATTTTTCCCTTTGCCTTTAAAAATGTGTGGTGTGGATCTACGGGTTGGATACAGGTGCTATAGGTCTTCACTTTAATGGTTTCCTTCAACACTGTAGCCTTTTATTACACTGCTGAGAATAACGTGGCCGCTCTGTGCAATACCACTGTGCAAGGCAGCCCCCAGAACAAGCTTTATTATTGTTTCTTTCTCCCCTGTGGTTTAAAGTAAACAAATAAATAGCAGAAGTCTGGGTTTTATTCCCCCACAATGTGTTGACTCACATTTAAGTGTTTTCCAGCAATGTGGCAATGGCAGCCTGTAGGATACTTGCTTCTGTCAAAGTAAGCAACTCAGATAATGCATGTAAATGGGAAAATCTGCTGCATTCCCTCCAGCTGAGGGGGCAGAAGGATGTAGGCCTTGTTTACATCTGCCAGATGTGTGAGGCTGCTTAGCAGCAAAAAATTTAGACTCTCCTGGCAGCAGAGAAACATGAGATTGTGTCTACCAGGAACTGTGGCAGTATCCAGCTTGACCACTGCTTGCACGCACAGCTGGCATAACAGTAATCAAGCGCTTCTCAAGACAACCCCAAAATCAGTGGATATGCTCAGGGATGGGGCAGGCCACCAGACTGCCCTGACTAGCTTTTTTAGAAACAAGTGTTCCCATTCATTTCCATTTACTTCAGGAACCAGCAGCTTACCTTTGGGCTGGTACCATGTCCTGCTGGCATGGAGACAACATTGAACATTTCTCCATGTGTCATAAAAAGCTAATCCTATTGTACTTTCTATTTTTTTTTCTCCAAAGGAGGATTAAAGTTCTACTTATCACAGACCCTGAATAGCAAACTCCTCCAGTGACAGAAAAGGGTCTGCTGCTCATGCTTGCTTGAAGGAGGAACCTCAGCTCATGATAAAAAGTGGCTTGCGTTTTAGCAATCCCTAAGAAAACCCCATAAACAACCCCTAGAGGCTATTCAAAGAAATATATTGCAATAGTTGGAGGCTGATGACGCCTAAGGAAAAAACTGCCCCATAAGTAAGAAGTTTACCAGTATAAGGAAGGTGTAAGTAAAAAGTTTAGCAAGTTGCTTTAGCAAGAACAGTGAAGAAAACTGATAAGAAGACGATTGATGTGTTTGAAATGTACTGGAGGAGACCTTTGTGAATACCTTGGGCCCACAGAAAGACAAGTAGGTCCTAGATCAAATCCAACCAGAGCTTTCCCTAAAAGCAAACATTACAAAACTGAGGGTGTCAGTCTTCGAGCACATCATGAGAAGGCAAGACTCACTGGGGAAGATAATCATGTTAGAGAAAGCCAAAGGCAAAAGGTGAAAGGGAAAACCAAATATGAGATGGGTTGAATCCGTAAAGGCCTTGAACTTGGAACTGCTGAATGGAGCTGTCATAAGCAGGCCATTTTGGATGTCTTTCATAGGGTCACCATAAGTCAGAGACAACAGCATAGAACACACTAGAACACACACAGAATGAGAGCGCACGCACGCATTATAGTTGAGAAGCAGGCCCAAATACATAAAGTGTTCCTTTTTATACTGTGTGGAACTGCATATATATGTAATTTGCCTAAACTGATACCTATTTTTATGCATTACATTGTCTTAACTTAAGAACAGGGACCTCTGGCCAATAAGACAGATCTGACCAGTGGGGTTTCATATCAGTCCATGCCTCCCACTGCTATGGAAGCACCACCTTTTGCTGGCTCTGGGAGAGAGGACACATTCTGATATTATCTGGTCCCTGCCTGAAAGACACTCCAGTCTGGGGCCAAACAGTTCTCCATCCTCCTGATAATAAGAAACATAAAAGTGTGAGCATTTTACAGACTGCAATGCACTTTCCATGAGCTCCACCATTTCACAGATGAAGAAGAGGGACACT